ATGGGTGACAGTGCTGAGTCTATGGGTGACAGTGTTGAGTCTATGGGTGACAGTGCTGAGTCTATGGGTGACAGTGTTGAGTCTATGGGTGGCAGTGATGAGTCTATGGGTGGCAGTGATGAGTCTATGATGCAGTGTTGAGTCTATGGTGCAGTGTTGAGTCTATAGGAGGCAGTCTTGAGTCTATGATGCAGCGTGGAGTCTACAGGTGGCAGTGCTGAGTCTATAGGTGGCAGTGTTGAGTATATGGGCAGTGCTGAGTCTATGGGTGGCAGTGTTGAGTCTATAGGTGGCAGTGTTGAGTCTATAGGTGTTTGTGATGAGTCTATGGGTGGCAGTGATGAGTCTATGGGTGGCAGTGATGAGTCTATGGGTGACAGTGCTGAGTCTATAGGTGACAATGATGAGTCTATGGGTGGCAGTGATGAGTCTATGGGTGACAGTGTTGAGTCTATTGGTGACAGTGTTGAGTCTATGGGTGGCAGTGATGAGTCTATGGGTGACAGTGTTGAGTCTATGGGTGACAGTGTTGAGTCTATGGGTGGCAGTGATGAGTCTATGGGTGGCAGTGATGAGTCTATGGGTGAGAGTGTTGAGTCTATGGGTGACAGTGTTGAGTCTATGGGTGGCAGTGATGAGTCTATGAGTGACATTGTTGAGTCTATGGGTGACAGTGTTGAGTCTATGGGTGGCAGTGATGAGTCTGTGGTTGGCAGTGTTGAGTCTATGGGTGGCAGTGATGAGTCTGTGGGTGGCAGTGTTGAGTTTATAGGTGTTAGTGATGAGTCTATGGGTGACAGTGATGAGTCTATGGGTGACAGTGTTGAGTCTATGGGTGACAGTGATGAGTCTATAGGTTGCAGTGTTGAGTCTATAGGTGTTAGTGATGAGTCTATGGGTGGCAGTGATGAGTCTATGGGTGACAGTGCTGAGTCTATGGGTGGCAGTGGTGAGTCAATGGGTGACAGTGATGAGTCTATGGGTGACAGTGTTGAGTCTATGGGTGACAGTGTTGAGTCTATGGGTGACAGTGTTGAGTCTATGGGTGACAGTGTTGAGTCTATGGGTGACAGTGTTGAGTCTATGGGTGACAGTGTTGAGTCTATGGGTGACAGTGCTGAGTCTATGGGTGACAGTGCTGAGTCTATGGGTGGCAGTGATGAGTCTATGGGTGACAGTGTTGAGTCTATGGGTGACAGTGATGAGTCTATGGGTGGCAGTGTTGAGTCTATGGGTGACAGTGTTGAGTCTATAGGTGGCAGTGCTGAGTCTATGGGTGACAATTTGAGTCTATGGGTGGCAGTGTTGAGTCTATGGGTGGCAGTGATGAGTCTATGGGTGACAGTGTTGAGTCTATGGGCAGTGTTGAGTCTATGGGTGGCAGTGATGAGTCTATGGGTGACAGTGTTGAGTCTATGGGTGGCAGTGATGAGTCTATGGGTGGCAGTGATGAGTCTATGGGTGACAGTGTTGAGTCTATGGGTGACAGTGTTGAGTCTATTGGTGGCAGTGTTGAGTCTATGGGTGACAGTGCTGAGTCTATGGGTGACAGTGTTGAGTCTATGGGTGGCAGTTTTGAGTCTATGGGTGGCAGTGATGAGTCTATGGGTGACAGTGTTGAGTCTATGGGTGACAGTGTTGAGTCTATGGGTGGCAGTGATGAGTCTATGGGTGGCAGTGTTGAGTCTATGGGTGACAGTGTTGAGTCTATGGGTGACAGTGTTGAGTCTATGGGTGGCAGTGTTGAGTCTATAGGTGACAGTGCTGAGTATATGGCTGACAGTGTTGAGTCTATGGGTGGCAGTGTTGAGTCTATAGGTGACAGTGATGAGTCTATAGGTGACAGTGATGAGTCTATGGGTGACAGTGTTGAGTCTATGGGTGGCAGTGTTGAGTCTATAGGTGACAGTGATGAGTCTATGGGTGACAGTGTTGAGTCTATGGGTAACAGTGTTGAGTCTATGGGTGGCAGTGATTAGACTATGGGTGACAGTGTTGAGTCTATGGGTGACAGTGTTGAGTCTATGGGTGGCAGTGATGAGTCTGTGGGTGGCAGTGTTGAGTCTATAGGTGGCAGTGATGAGTCTGAGGGTGGCAGTGTTGAGTCTATAGGTGTTAGTGATGAGTCTATGGGTGACAGTGATGAGTCTATAGGTGACAGTGTTGAGTCTATGGGTGACAGTGATGAGTCTGTGGGTGACAGTGTTGAGTCTATGGGTGTTAGTGATGAGTCTATGGGTGGCAGTGATGAGTCTATGGGTGGCAGTGATGAGTCTATAGGTGACAGTGCTGAGTCTATAGGTGACAGTGTTGAGTCTATGGGTGACAGTGTTGAGTTTATGGGTGACAGTGCTGAGTCTATGTGTGACAGTGTTGAGTCTATGGGTGACAGTGCTGAGTCTATGGGTGACAGTGTTGAGTCTATGGGTGGCAGTGATGAGTCTATGGGTGGCAGTGATGAGTCTATGATGCAGTGTTGAGTCTATGGTGCAGTGTTGAGTCTATAGGAGGCAGTCTTGAGTCTATGATGCAGCGTGGAGTCTACAGGTGGCAGTGTTGAGTCTATAGGTGGCAGTGTTGAGTATATGGGCAGGCTGAGTCTATGGGTGGCAGTGTTGAGTCTATAGGTGGCAGTGTTGAGTCTATAGGTGTTAGTGTTGAGTCTATGGGTGGCAGTGATGAGTCTATGGGTGGCAGTGATGAGTCTATGGGTGACAGTGCTGAGTCTATAGGTGACAGTGATGAGTCTATGGGTGGCAGTGATGAGTCTATGGGTGACAGTGTTGAGTCTATTGGTGACAGTGTTGAGTCTATGGGTTGCAGTGATGAGTCTATGGGTGACAGTGTTGAGTCTATGGGTGACAGTGTTGAGTCTATGGGTGGCAGTGATGAGTCTATGGGTGGCAGTGATGAGTCTATGGGTGACAGTGTTGAGTCTATGGGTGACAGTGTTGAGTCTATGGGTGGCAGTGATGAGTCTATGGGTGACATTGTTGAGTCTATGGGTGACAGTGTTGAGTCTATGGGTGGCAGTGATGAGTCTGTGGGTGGCAGTGTTGAGTCTATGGGTGGCAGTGATGAGTCTGTGGGTGGCAGTTTTGAGTCTATAGGTGTTAGTGATGAGTCTATGGGTGACAGTGATGAGTCTATGGGTGACAGTGTTGAGTCTATGGGTGACAGTGATGAGTCTATAGGTGACAGTGTTGAGTCTATAGGTGTTAGTGATGAGTCTATGGGTGGCAGTGATGAGTCTATGGGTGACAGTGCTGAGTCTATGGGTGGCAGTGGTGAGTCAATGGGTGACAGTGATGAGTCTATGGGTGACAGTGTTGAGTCTATGGGTGACAGTGTTGAGTCTATGGGTGACAGTGTTGAGTCTATGGGTGACAGTGTTGAGTCTATGGGTGACAGTGTTGAGTCTATGGGTGACAGTGTTGAGTCTATGGGTGACAGTGCTGAGTCTATGGGTGACAGTGCTGAGTCTATGGGTGGCAGTGATGAGTCTATGGGTGACAGTGTTGAGTCTATGGGTGACAGTGATGAGTCTATGGGTGGCAGTGTTCAGTCTATGGGTGACAGTGTTGAGTCTATAGGTGGCAGTGCTGAGTCTATGGGTGACAGTGTTGAGTCTATGGGTGGCAGTGATGAGTCTATGGGTGGCAGTGTTGAGTCTATAGGTGGCAGTGATGAGTCTATGGGTGACAGTGCTGAGTCTATGGGTGACAGTGTTGAGTCTATGGGTGACAGTGTTGAGTCTATAGGTGACAGTGTTGAGTCTATGGGTGACAGTGTTGAGTCTATGGGTGACAGTGTTGAGTCTATGGGTGACAGTGTTGAGTCTATGGGTGACAGTGTTGAGTCTATGGGTGACAGTGTTGAGTCTATGGGTGACAGTGTTGAGTCTATGGGTGACAGTGCTGAGTCTATGGGTGACAGTGCTGAGTCTATGGGTGGCAGTGATGAGTCTATGGGTGACAGTGTTGAGTCTATGGGTGACAGTGATGAGTCTATGGGTGGCAGTGTTGAGTCTATGGGTGACAGTGTTGAGTCTATAGGTGGCAGTGCTGAGTCTATGGGTGACAGTGTTGAGTCTATGGGTGGCAGTGATGAGTCTATGGGTGGCAGTGTTGAGTCTATAGGTGGCAGTGATGAGTCTATGGGTGACAGTCCTGAGTCTATGGGTGACAGTGCTGAGTCTATGGGTGACAGTGATGAGTCTATGGGTGACAGTGCTGAGTCTATGGGTGACAGTGTTGAGTCTATGGGTGACAGTGCTGAGTCTATGGGTGACAGTGTTGAGTCTATGGGTGACAGTGCTGAGTCTATGGGTGACAGTGCTGAGTCTATGGGTGGCAGTGATGAGTCTATGGGTGACAGTGTTGAGTCTATGGGTGACAGTGATGAGTCTATGGGTGGCAGTGTTGAGTCTATGGGTGACAGTGTTGAGTCTGTAGGTGGCAGTGCTGAGTCTATGGGTGACAGTGTTGAGTCTATGGGTGGCAGTGATGAGTCTATGGGTGGCAGTGTTGAGTCTATAGGTGGCAGTGATGAGTCTATGGGTGACAGTGCTGAGTCTATGGGTGACAGTGCTGAGTCTATGGGTGATAGTGATGAGTCTATGGGTGACAGTGCTGAGTCTATGGGTGACAGTGTTGAGTCTATGGGTGACAGTGTTGAGTCTATGGGTGACAGTGCTGAGTCTATGGGTGACAGTGCTGAGTCTATGGGTGGCCGTGATGAGTCTATGGGTGACAGTGTTGAGTTTATGGGTGACAGTGTTGAGTCTATGGGTGGCAGTGTTGAGTCTATGGGTGACAGTGTTGAGTCTATGGGTGACAGTGTTGAGTCTATGGGTGGCAGTGATGAGTCTATGGGTGACAGTGTTGAGTCTATGGGTGACAGTGCTGAGTCTATGGGTGACAGTGTTGAGTCTATGGGTGGCAGTGCTGAGTCTATGGGTGGCAGTGTTGAGTCTATGGGTGACAGTGCTGGGTGAGTCTCCAGCGGGACCGTGCCAGGCTAGGTTCACTTACCGGTGGCGGTATTTCTTACGACAGGCGTACATCCGTAGCGTCTTCTGGATGCGGATGCAAGCGTTGGCGCGATAGAGAATCTTGTTCTGAACTGTGGGGTCGGAGGTCAGGGGTCAGGGGTCAGGGGTCAGAGGTCAGGGGGTCAGAGGTCAGAGAGAGAGAGGGGGGAGAGAGAGATCTTGATCATCTCCCTCTCTCCATCCCTCCTTCATCTGCACCACCCCCCACCCCCCACCCCCAACCCACCCCCCCAGCCCCCCCCCAGCCCCCCCCCCCAGCCCCCCCCCCCAGCCCCCCAGCCCCCCCCCCCTCACGTTTCACGACGCTCAGAGCTCCCCACTGCGCCTTTCTCCAGCGAGTCTGCAGCAGCCAGCGCTTAACGCGCTCCACCAACCCCGCCAGGTGCTCCGGGTCAGACTTCATCATCTGGTCGAACTCGGCAAACTACGCAGCATCAGCAGCAGCAGCATCAGCATCATCACCAGCAGCATCATCAGCAGCATCATCAACCGCATCACCATCATTAGCAGCAGCATCAGCAGCAGCATCATCATCATCATCAGCAGCATCACCATCAGCAGCATCATCATCAGCAGCATCATCATTACCAGCATCACCATCATTAACAGCAGCATCATCATCAGCAGCATCACCATCAGCAGCAGCATCACCATCAGCAGCATCACCATCAGCAGCATCAGCAGCAGCAGCATCATCATCAGCAGCATCACCATCATTAACAGCAGCATCATCATCAGCAGCATCACCAGCAGCAGCATCATCACCATCAGCAGCATCATCATCAGCAGCATCATCACCATCAGCAGCATCACCATCAGTAGCATCACCATCAGCAGCATCATCACCATCAGCAGCATCATCATCAGCAGCATCATCACCATCAGCAGCATCACCATCAGCAGCATCACCATCAGCAGCATCATCAACCGCATCACCATCATCAGCAGCAGCATCACCATCAGCAGCATCATCATCAACCGCATCATCACCATCAGCAGCATCATCAACCGCATCATCATCATTACCATCAGCAGCATCATTAGCAGCAGCATCACCATCAGCAGCATCATCCGCATCATCATCATCATTACCAGCATCACCATCATTAGCAGCAGCATCACCATCAGTAGCATCATCAGCAGCATCATCACCATCAGCAGCATCATCAGCAGCATCATCATCATTAGCAGCATCACATATCAGCAGCATCATCAGCAGTATAATCGGCTCCATCATTATCAGTAGCAAAAGCAGCAGCACCATGATGGTGGTGATGATGATGATGGTGATGATGTTGATGATGGTGATGATGTTGATGATGATGATGATAGTGATGATGCTGAAGATCATGGTGCTGGTGCTGATGATGATTGATGCTAATGATGATGCTGATCATGCTGCTGCTGATGATGATTATTGGGCTGATGATGGTGGTGCTGATGATGATGGTGCTGCTGATGATGATGATGATGGTGGTGGTGCTAAGTCCGTACCTTTCCCGGCCGGAAGAAAACTTTGGTGAGTCCGAACTTATAGTCGGCCTCATTCAGTCCCAAAGCCTTGAACAGAGCCTGCAGGTTCACAGTGGCCAAGACATTCACAGAATCACTCACAGAATCACCCAAAGACTCACCCAGAGACTTACCCACAAACTCACTCAGAGACTCACCCACAGACTCACCCACAGACTCACTCAGAGACTCACTCACAGACTCACTCAGAGACTCACTCACAAACTCACTCACAGACTCACTCAAAGACTCACTCACAGACTCATCCACAGACTCAATCACAGACTCATTCTCAAACTCACTCACATACTCACTCAGAAACTAACCCACAAACTCACTCACAGACTCACTGACAAACTCACTCACAGACTCACTCAGAGACTCACTCACAAATGAACTCACTCAGAGACTCACTCACATACTCACTCACAGACTCATCCACATACTCACTCAGAGACTAACCCACGAACTCACTCACAGACTCACTCAGAGACTCACTCAGAGACTCACTCAGAGACTCACTCACATACTCACTCACAGACTCATCCACAGACTCACTCAGAGACTAACCCACGAACTCACTCACAAACTCACTCACAGACTCACTCACAAACTCACTCACAGAATCACTCAGAGACTCACTCACAGACTCACTCAGAGACTCACTCACAGACTCACTCAGAGACTCACTGAGAGACTCACTCAAAGACTCACTCACAGACTCATCCACATACTCACTCAGAGACTAACCCACGAACTTACTCACAAACTCACTCACAGACTCACTCACAAACTCACTCAGATACTCACTGAGAGACACTCTCTCAAAGACTCACCCAGAGACTTACCCACAAACTTACTCAGAGACTCACCCACAGACTCACCCACAGACTCACTCAGAGACTCACTCACAGACTCACTCAGAGACTCACTCACAAACTCACTCACAGACTCACTCAAAGACTTACTCACAGACTCATTCTCAAACTCACTCACATACTCACTCAGAAACTAACCCACAAACTCACTCACAGACTCACTCACAAACTCACTCACAGACTCACTCAGAGACTCACTCGCAAATGAACTCACTCAGAGACTCACTCACATACTCACTCACAGACTCATCCACATACTCACTCAGAGACTAACCCACGAACTCACTCACAGACTCACTCAGAGACTCACTCAGAGACTCACTCAGAGACTCACTCACATACTCACTCACAGACTCATCCACAGACTCACTCAGAGACTAACCCACGAACTCACTCACAAACTCACTCACAGACTCACTCACAAACTCACTCACAGAATCACTCAGAGACTCACTCACAGACTCACTCAGAGACTCACTCACAGACTCACTCAGAGACTCACTGAGAGACTCACTCAAAGACTCACTCACAGACTCATCCACTTACTCACTCAGAGACTAACCCACGAACTTACTCACAAACTCACTCACAGACTCACTCACAAACTCACTCAGATACTCACTGAGAGACACTCTCTCAAAGACTCACTCAGAGACTCACTCACAGACTCACTCAGAGACTCACTGAGAGACTCACTCAAAGACTCACTCACAGACTCATCCACAGACTCACTCAGAGACTCACTGACAGATGAACTCACTCACAGACTCACTCACCCACCGACTCACCCACGGACTCACCTTACAGAAGAGCCGTGGGTCGAGGCGTGCGAGGTGTGGAGGGAGGTAGCGCTGGTACAGGGAGTAGAGTTCGTGGAAGGCCGCGCGTGATGGGAATCCTCCCTGCATCAGGTCCAGGACGGAGACCATCCCTAGAGACATGGGGTGGGTGGGTGGGTGAGTTGGTGGGTGGTTTGGTGGGTGGGTGGGTGGGTGGGTGAGTGGGTGGGTGGGTGGGTGAGTGGGTGGGTGGGTGGGTGAGTGAATGGGTGGGTGGGTGACTGGGTGGGTGGTTGGGTGAGTGGGTGGGTGGGTGAGTGGGTGGGTGGGTGGGTGAGTGCGTGGGTGGGTGGGTGTAGGAGTGGGTGGGTGGGTGGGTGTAGGAGTTGGTGGGTGGGTGAGTGGGTGGGTGGTTTGGTGGGTGGGTGAGTGAGTGGGTAGCTGGGTGAGTGGGTGGGTGGGTGAGTGGATGGGTGTGTGAGTGGGTGTAGGAGTGGGTGGGTGGGTGAGTGGGTGGGTGGTTTGGTGGGTGGGTGAGTGGGTGTGTGGGTGTATGAGTGGGTGGGTGGGTGGGTGAGTGGGTGGGTGGGTGTGTGGGTGTAGGAGTGGGTGGGTGGGTGTATGAGTGGGTGGGTGCGTGACTGAGTATGTGGGTGAGTGGATAGGTGAGTGAGTGAGTGAATGTGTGAGTGGGTGGGTGGGTGAGTAGCTTAGTAAGTGAATGTGTGAGTAGGTGGGTAAGTAGGTGAGTGAATGGCTGAGTGAGTGAGTGGGCGAGTGAATGTCTGCATCTATCTCTCTATATATCTCTAGGTATCTCTTCCTGCCCAAGTACTGGAGTTGAGAGAGGATGCTTTAGTGAGTTCATGAGTGAGTGGATAGGTGCGTGAGTGAGTGGGTGGGTGAGTGGATAGGTGAGTGAGTGAGTGAATAGGTGAGTGAGTGATTTAGTGAGTGAGTGATTTAGTGAGTGGGTGAGTGAGTGAGTGATTGAGTGGGTGGGTGAGTGAGTGGATGGGTGATTGAGTGAGTGATTGAGTGGGTGGGTGAGTGAGTAAGTGGATGGGTGAGTGGGTGAGTGGATGGGTGAGTGAGTGATTGAGTGGATGGGTGAGTGAGTGGATGTGTGGGTGAGTGAGTGGGTGAGTGAGTGAGTGATTGAGTGAGTGGGTGGGTTGGTGAGTGAGTGGGTGGCTTAGTGAGTGATTTGTGAGTGGGTGAGCTTATCTCTGTATATCTCTAAGCATCTCTCCTCCTACTCGAGTACTGTAGCTGGGACAGGATGTTTCAGTGAGTGGGTGAGTGTATCTCTCTATCTCTCTATATATCTCCTACCCGAGTACTGTAGCTGGGACAGGATGTTTTAGTGAGTGGGTGAGTGTATCTCTCTCTATCTATCTCTATCTATCTCTATATATCTCCTACCCGAGTACTGTAGCTGGACAGGATGTTTCAGTGAGTGGGTGAGTGTATCTCTCTATCTCTATATATCTCCTACCCGAGTACTGTAGCTGTGACAGGATGTTTTAGTGAGTGGGTGAGTATATCTCTCTCTATATATCTCTATATATATTTATCTCCTACCCGAGTACTGTAGCTGGGACAGGATGTTTTAGTGAGTGGGTTAGTGTATATCTCTATATATCTCTCTCTATCTATCTCTATATATATCTCCTACCCGAGAACTGTAGCTGGTACAGGATGTTTTAGTGAGTGGGTGAGTGTATCTCTCTATCTCTATATATATCTCTATATATCTCTATATATCTCCTACCCGAGTACTGTAGCTGGGACAGGATGTTTTAGTGAGTGGGTGAGTGTATCTCTCTATCTCTATATATCTCTCTATCTCTATATCTCTATATATATCTCCTACCCGAGTACTGTAGCTGTGACAGGATGTTTTAGTGAGTGGGTGAGTATATCTATCTCTCTCTATATCTATATATCTCCTACCCGAGTACTGTAGCTGGGACAGGATGTTTTAGTGAGTGGGTGAGTGTATCTCTCTCTATCTCTCTCTATATATATCTCTATCTCTCTCTATATATCTCTATATATCTCCTACCCGAGTATTGTACCTGGGACAGGATGTTTTAGTGAGTGGATGAGTGTATCTCTCTATCTCTCTCTATATATCTCTCTCTATCTCTCTCTATATATCTCACTATCTCTCTCTATATATCTCCTACCCGAGTACTGTAGCTGTGACAGGATGTTTTAGTGAGTGGGTTAGTGTATCTCTATCTATCTCTCTCTATATATCTCCTACCCGAGTACTGTAGCTGTGACAGGATGTTGCCACCCTCAAAGGAGCGGCTCTTCATGTGCAGATTCGGCTTCACGCAGCGCACAAAACTGGAGCCCTGATCGGAGATACATAGACAGAGAGATACAGAGATAGATACACACAGATGTACAGATAGACACACAGATGTACAGATATACATACACAGATGTAAAGATACACACACAGATGTACAGATACACACACAGATGTACAGATATGAACAGAGATGTATAGATATACACACAGATGTACAGATACACACAGATGTACAGATACACACACACAGATGCACAGATACACACACACAGATGTACAGATATACACAAAGATGTACAGACACACAAACAGATGTACAGATACACACACAGATGCACAGATACACACACAGATGTACAGATACACACACAGATGTACATACACACAGATGTACAGATACCCACACAGATGTACAGATACACACACAAATGTACATACACACAGATGTACAGATACACACACAGATGTACAGAAACACACACAGATGTACAGATACACACACAGATGTACAGATACACACACACAGATGTACAGATATACACACACAGATGTACAGATACACACACAGATGTACAGACGCACACACACACAGATGTACAGATAAACACACAGATGTACAGATACACACACAGATGTACAGATATACACACACAGATGTACAGATACACACAGAGATGTACAGATACACACACAGATGTACATGTACACACATATGTACAGACACACACACACAGATGTACAGATACACACACAGATGCACAGATACACACACAGATGTACAGATATACACACAGATGTACAGATATACACACACAGATGTACAAATACACACACAGATGTACAGATACACACACAGATGTACATACACACACAGATGTACATATACACACAGATGTACAGACACACACACAGATGTACAGATAAACACACAGATGTACAGATACACACACAGATGTACAGATATACACACAGATGTACATACACACACAGATGTACAGATACACACACAGATGTACAGATACACACACACAGATGTACAGATACACACAGATGTACAGATACACACACAAATGTACATACACACACAGATGTACAGATACACACACACAGATGTACAGATATACACACAGATGTACAGATACACACAAATGTACATACACACATATGTACAGATATACACACACAGATGTACAGATATACACACAGATGTACAGATACACACACAGATGTACAGATACACACACAGATGTACAGATATACACACAGATGTACAGATACACACAGATGTACAGATACACACACAGATGTACAGATATACACACAGATGTACAGATATACACACAGATGTACAGATACACACACAGATGTACAGATACACACACACACACAGATGTACAGATACACACACAGATGTACAGATATACACACACAGATGTACAGATACACACAAAGATGTACAGATACACACAGATGTACAGATACACACACAGATGCACAGATACACACACAGATGTACAGATACACACACAGATGTACATACACACAGATGTACAGATACCCACACAGATGTACAGATACACACACAAATGTACATACACACAGATGTACAGATACACACAGAGATGTACATACACACACAGATGTACATATACACACACACACACAGATGTACAGATATACACACAGATGTACAGATATACACACAGATGTACAGATATACACACAAAGATGTACAAATACACACACAGATGTACATACACTAAGATGTACATATACACACACAGATATACAGACACACACACAGATGTACAGATAAACACACAGATGTACAGATACACACAGATGTGCAGATATACACACCCAGATGTACATACACACAGATGTACAGATACACACAGATGTACAGATACACACACAGATGTAAAGATACATACAGATGTACAGATACACACACAGATGTACATACACACACAGATGTACAGATACACACACAGATGTACAAATACACACACAGATGTACATACACACACAGATGTACAGATACACACACAGATGTACAGATACACACACAGATGTACAGATACACACACAGATGTACAGATACACACACAGATGTACAGTTATACACACAGATGTACAGATATACACACAGATGTACAGATACACACACAGATGTACAGATACACACACAGATGTACAGATACACACACAGATGTACAGTTATACACACAGATGTACAGATACACACACAGATGTACAGATACACACACAGATGTACAGATATACACACAGATGTACAGATACACACACAGATGTACATACACACACAGATGTACAGATACACACACAGATGTACAGATACACACACAGATGTACATACACACACAGATGTACAGATACACACACAGATGTACAGATACACACACAGATGTACAGTTATACACACAGATGTACAGATACACACACAGATGTACAGATACACACACAGATGTACAGATATACACACAGATGTACAGATATACACACAGATGTACAGATACACACACAGATGTACAGATACACACACAGATGTACAGATACACACAAAGATGTACAGATACACACACAGATGTACAGATACACACACACACTGATGTACAGATATACACACACAGATGTACAGATATACACACAGATGTACAGATACACACACAGATGTACAGATACACACACACAGATGTACAGATACACACACAGATGTACAGATACACACACACAGATGTACAGATACACACACATATGTACAGATATACACACAGATGTATGGATATACACACAGATGTACAGATACACACAGATGTACAGATACACACACAGATGTACAGATATACACAGATGTACAGATACACACATAGATATACAGATACACACAGATGTACAGATACACACACAGATGTACAGATACACACACAGATGCACAGATACACACACAGATGTACGGATATACACACAGATGTACAGATACACACACAGATGTACAGATACACACACACTGATGTACAGATACACACAAAGATGTACAGATATACACAGATGTACAGATACACACACAGATGTACAGATACACGCACATATGTACAGATACACACACACACTGATGTACAGATATACACACACAGATGTACAGATATACACACAGATGTACAGATACACACACAGATGTACAGATACACACACAGATGTACAGATATACACACACAGATGTACAGATACACACACACACACAGATGTACAGATATCCACACAGATGTACAGATACACAAACATATGTACAGATAAATACACAGATGTACAGATACACACACACAGGTGTACAGATATACATACAGATGTACAGATACACATACACAGATGTACAGATACACACACAGATGTACAGATACACACACAGATGTACAGATATACACACAGATGTACAGATATACACACACAGATGTACAGATATACACACACAGATGTACAGATACACACACAGATGTACAGATATACACACACAGATGTACAGATATACACACAGATGTACAGACACACACAGATGTACAGACACACACACAGATGTACAGACACACACACAGATGTACAGACACACACACACAGATGTACAGATACACACACACAGATGTACAGATATACACACACAGATGTACAGATACACACACAGATGTACAGATATACACACAGATGTACAGATACACACACAGATGTACAGATACACACACACACACACAGATGTACAGATACACACATAGATGTACATATACACACAGATGTACAGATATACACACAGATGTATAGAGAAAGAGACAGAGAGATATACATAGATACATCTATATACACACAGAGATGTATATACAGAGATATATAGAGAGATACATACATGGTGATGATGATAAAGGTGCTGCTGATGATGAAGATGATGCCAATGGTGCTCATGATGACGATGCCATTGGTGATGATGATGACGATGCTGCTGCTGATTATGGTACTGATGATGATGCTGCTGATGATGATGCTGCTGATGATGATGATGATACTGCTGATGATGTTGTGGATGGTGCTGATGCTGCGGCTGCTGTTGATGACGATGCTGATGACGATGCTGATGGCTCACCGTCTCGTGGAGTTTCTCCAACAGCTGAGACAGCTGAGTCTGTGGAATGAGAGATCACAATCAGAAGTGCAGTCAAAGCTCACCCAGGTAGCAGCGCAATGGTTGATAGAGCAAGTGCAGTGCTGAGTCTATGGACTCACCCAGTGCTGAGTCTATGGACTCACCGAGTGCTGAGTCTTTGGACTCACCCAGTGCTGAGTCTATGGACTCACCCAGTGCTGAGTCTTTGGACTCACCCAGTGCTGAGTCTATGGACTCACCCAGTGCTGAGTCTTTGGACTCACCCAGTGCTGAGTCTATGGAATCACCCAGTGCTGAGTCTATAGACTCACCCAGTGCTGAGTCTTTGGACTCACCCAGTGCTGAGTCTATGGACTCACCCAGTGATGGACTCAGCACTGAGTGAGTCCCTGGACTCAGCACTGAGTGAGTCTATAGACTCGGCAGCGAGTGAGTCTATAGACTCAGCACTGAGTGAGTCCCTGGACTCAGCACTGAGTGAGTCTATAGACTCAGCACCGAGTGAGTCTATAGACTCAGCACCGAGTGAGTCTATAGACTCAGCACCGAGTGAGTCTATAGACTCAGCACTGGGTGAGTCTATAGACTCAGCACCGAGTGAGTCTATAGACTCAGCACCGAGTGAGTCTATGGACTCAGCACTGAGTGAGTCTATAGACTCAGCACTGGGTGAGTCTATAGACTCACCACTGGGTGAGTCTATAGACTCAGCACTGGGTGAGTCTATGGACTCAGCACTGAGTGAGTCTATAGACTCAGCACTGAGTGAGTCTATAGACTCAGCACTGAGTGAGTCTATAGACTCACTCAGCACTCAGTCCCTGGACTCAGCACCGAGTGAGTCTATGACTCGCGCTCCTCACCTTGAACTTCGTCCCGACGCTCACGAATCCCAGCTTCCCGGCTCTCTGTCTGGGGTCTCTCCCTCCGCTGGGACCCCCTCCGAGGGGTCCCCCCCCTCCCCCACCGCCGGGACCCCCCCCGAGGTGGTCAGAGAAGAGTCGAGCGACGAAGTTGTCCTGAGATCGGCGCACCAGCGACTCGAGGGAGAGGTGCAGGGCATCATTATTCTTCTCTACGAAGTTGGCCTGCACACAGCGAGTAGCGAGACAGATCAAGAGAGGGATGGAGAGAGATGGAGAGAGAGAGAGAGATGGAGAGAGAGATAAAGAGAGAGAGATGGAGAGAGAGAGATGGAGAGAGATGGAGAGAGATGGAGAGAGAGATAGCGAGACAGATCAAGAGAGAGATGAAAAGAGAGATGGAGAGAGAGAGAGAGATGGAGAGAGATCAAGAGAGAGATGGAGAGAGAGAGAGATGGAGAGAGATAAAGAGAGAGAGATGGAGAGAGATAAAGAGAGAGATGGAGAGATAAAGAGAGAGATGGAGAGAGATGGAGAGAGAGATGGAGAGAGAGATCAAGAGAGAGATGGAGAGAGATAAAGAGAGAGAGATGGAGAGAGATGGAGAGAGATATGTGAGAGAGATAAAGAGAAAGATGGAGAGAGAGAGATAAAGAGAGAGAGATGGTGAGATAAAGAGAGAGATAAAGAGAAAGATGGAGAGAGATGGAGAGAGATGGAGAGAGATATGGAGAGAGATATGGAGAGAGATATATGTGAGAGAGATATGAAGACATAAAGAGAGAGAGATGGAGAGAGAGATACAGAGAGATAAATAGAGAGATGGAGAGAGATCAAGAGAGATGGAGAGAGACATGGAGAGAGAGAGAGATGGAGAGAGATGGAGAGAGATGGAGAGAGATATGGAGATAGATGGAGAGAGATGGAGAGATAAAGAGAGATATAAAGAGAGAGATGGAGAGAGATAAATAGACTGATCAAGAGAGAGATGGAGAGAGATGGAGAGATAGTGAGAGTGAGAGAGATAGAGAGATAGTGAGAGAGATAGTGAGAGAGATATAGTAAGATAGAGAGAGATAGAGAGATAGTGAGATAGTGAGAGAGATAGTGATATAGTGAGATAGTGAGAGATATAGTGAGAGAGATAGAGAGATAGTGAGAGAGATAGAGAGATAGTGATAGAGATAGAGAGATAGTGAGAGATAGTGAGAGATACACAAGGGGTGTACCGTTTCGTAGCAGACGGCACCAGCGAAGTGGCGGATGACGAATCCTTCTTCATCACGAAGAGCGCGGTGACGACTCAGCTTGGAACTACGTGGAACCTGAGGGACACATCTAGCTGTGACTCCTCACACGTCTAGCTGTGACTCCTCACACGTCTAGCTGTGACTACTCACATGTCTAGCTGTGACTACTCACATGTCTAGCTGTGACTCCTCTAGAGCTCACTCACACATCTAGCTGTGACTACTCTATAGCTCACACATCTAGCTGTGACTACACTAGAGCTGTGACTCCTCTATAGCTCACTCACACATCTAGCTGTGACTCCTCACACGTCTAGCTGTGACTACTCTAGAGCTCACTCACACATCTAGTTGTGACTCCTCTATAGCTCACACATCTAGCTGTGACTCCTCTAGAGCTGTGACTACTCTATAGCTCACTCACACATCTAGCTGTGACTCCTCTATAGCTCACACGTCTAGCTGTGACTACACTAGAGCTCACACATCTAGCTGTGACTACTCACACATCTAGCTGTGACTACTCTAGAGCACACACATCTAGCTGTGACTACTCACACATCTAGCTGTGACTACTCTAGCGCACACACATCTAGCTGTGACTCCTCTATAGCTCACACGTCTAGCTGTGACTACTCACACGTCTAGCTGTGACTACACTAGAGAACACACATCTAGCTGTGACTCCTCACACGTCTAGCTGTGACTCCTCACACGTCTAGCTGTGACTCCTCTATAGCTCACACATCTAGCTGTGACTCCTCTAGAGCTGTGACTCCTCTATAGCTCACTCACACATCTAGCTGTGACTCCTCTAGAGCTGTGACTCCTCTAGAGCACACACATCTAGCTGTGACTACTCTAGAGCACACATCTAGCTGTGACTCCTCACACATCTAGCTGTGACTACTCTAGAGCTCACTCACACATCTAGCTGTGACTCCTCTAGAGCTGTGACTACTCTATAGCTCACACGTCTAGCTGTGACTACTCTAGAGCTCACTCACACATCTAGTTGTGACTACTCTAGAGCACACACATCTAGTTGTGACTACTCTAGAGCACACACATCTAGCTGTGACTACTCTAGAGCACACACATCTAGCTGTGACTACTCTAGAGCACAAACATCTAGCTGTGACTACTCTAGAGCACACACATCTAGCTGTGACTACTCTAGAGCACACACATCTAGCTGTGACTACTCTAGAGCACACACATCTAGCTGTGACTACTCTAGAGCTGTGACTACTCTAGAGCTGTGACTACTCTAGAGCACACACATCTAGCTGTGACTACTCTAGAGCTCACACATCTAGCTGTGACTACTCTAGAGCACACACATCTAGCTGTGACACCTCTATAGCTGTGACTCCTCTATAGCTCACTCACACGTCTAACTGTGACTCCTCTAGAGCTGTGACTCCTCTATAGCACACACATCTAGCTGTGACTCCTCTATAGCTCACACACACATCTAGTTGTGACTACTCTAGAGCACACACATCTAGCTGTGACTACTCTAGAGCACACACATCTAGCTGTGACTCCTCACACGTCTAGCTGTGACTCCTCACACGTCTAGCTGTGACTCCTCTATAGCTCACACATCTAGCTGTGACTCCTCTAGAGCTGTGACTCCTCTATAGCTCACTCACACATCTAGCTGTGACTCCTCTAGAGCTGTGACTCCTCTAGAGCACACACATCTAGCTGTGACTCCTCTAGAGCTGTGACTCCTCTATAGCTCACTCACACATCTAGTTGTGACTCCTCTAGAGCTGTGACTCCTCTACAGCACACACATCTAGCTGTGACTACTCTAGAGCACACATCTAGCTGTGACTCCTCACACATCTAGCTGTGACTACTCTAGAGCTCACTCACACATCTAGCTGTGACTCCTCTAGAGCTGTGACTACTCTATAGCTCACATGTCTAGCTGTGACTACTCTAGAGCTCACTCACACATCTAGTTGTGACTACTCTAGAGCACACACATCTAGTTGTGACTACTCTAGAGCACACACATCTAGCTGTGACTACTCTAGAGCACACACATCTAGCTGTGACTACTCTAGAGCACAAACATCTAGCTGTGACTACTCTAGAGCACAAACATCTAGCTGTGACTACTCTAGAGCACACACATCTAGCTGTGACTACTCTAGAGCACACACATCTAGCTGTGACTACTCTAGAGCACAAACATCTAGCTGTGACTACTCTAGAGCACACACATCTAGCTGTGACTACTCTAGAGCACACGCATCTAGCTGTGACTACTCTAGAGCACACACATCTAGCTGTGACTACTCTAGAGCTGTGACTACTCTAGAGCTGTGACTACTCTAGAGCACACACATCTAGCTGTGACTACTCTAGAGCACACACATCTAGCTGTGACTACTCTAGAGCTCACACGTCTAGCTATGACTCCTCTAGAGCTGTGACTCCTCTAGAGCTCACACATCTAGCTGTGACTACTCTAGAGCACACACGTCTAGCTGTGACTGCTCTAGAGCTGTGACTCCTCTAGAGCACACACATCTAGCTGTGACTACTCTATAGCTCACTCACACATCTAGCTGTGCCTACTCTAGAGCTGTGACTCCTCTATAGCTCACACATCTAGCTGTGACTACTCTAGAGCACACACGTCTAGCTGTGACTACTCTAGAGCTGTGACTCCTCTATAGCTCACACGTCTAGCTGTGACTACTCTAGAGCTGTGACTCCTCTATAGCTCACACATCTAGCTATGATTACTCTAGAGCACACACGTCTAGCTGTGACTACTCTAGAGCTGTGACTACTCTATAGCTCACACGTCTAGCTGTGACTACTCTACAGCTCACTCACACATCTAGCTGTGACTACTCTATAGCTCACACGTCTAGCTGTGACTACTCTATAGCTCACTCACACATCTAGCTGTGACTCCTCACACGTCTAGCTGTGACTCCTCTATAGCTCACACATCTAGCTGTGACTACTCTAGAGCACACACATCTAGCTGTGACTACTCTAGAGCACACACATCTAGCTGTGACTACTCTAGAGCACACACATCTAGCTGTGACTACTCTAGAGCTGTGACTCCTCTATAGCTCACACATCTAGCTGTGACTACTCTAGAGCACACACATCTAGCTGTGACTACTCTAGAGCACACACATCTAGCTGTGACTACTCTAGAGCACACACATCTAGCTGTGACTACTCTAGAGCACACACATCTAGCTGTGACTCCTCTATAGCACACACATCTAGCTGTGACTACTCTAGAGCACACACGTCTAGCTGTGACTACTCTAGAGCTCACACGTCTAGTTGTGACTACTCTAGAGCACACACATCTAGTTGTGACTACTCTAGAGCACACACATCTAGCTGTGACTACTCTAGAGCTCACACGTCTAGTTGTGACTACTCTAGAGCACACACATCTAGCTGTGACTACTCTAGAGCACACACATCTAGCTGTGACTACTCTAGAGCTCACACGTCTAGCTGTGACTCATCACACGTCTAGCTGTGACTCCTCTATAGCTCACACGTCTAGTTGTGACTCCTCTATAGCTCACTCACACGTCTAGCTGTGACTCCTCTATAGCTCACTCACACGTCTAGCTGTGACTCCTCTATAGCTCACACATCTAGCTGTGACTACACTAGAGCTCACACATCTAGCTGTGACTACTCTAGAGCACACACATCTAGCTGTGACTACTCTAGAGCACACACATCTAGTTGTTACTACTCTATAGCTCACTCACACATCTAGCTGTGACTACTCTAGAGCTGTGACTACACTAGAGCACACACATCTAGTTGTTACTACTCTAGAGCACACACGTCTAGTTGTGACAACTCTAGAGCTGTGACTCCTCTAGAGCACACACATCTAGTTGTTACTACTCTATAGCTCACTCACACATCTAGCTGTGACTACTCTAGAGCTGTGACTACACTAGAGCACACACATCTAGTTGTTACTACTCTAGAGCACACACGTCTAGCTGTGACTACTCTAGAGCTGTGACTACTCTAGAGCACACACGTCTAGCTGTGACTACTCTAGAGCTCACACATCTAGCTGTGACTACTCTAGAGCTGTGACTCCTCTAGAGCACACACGTCTAGCTGTGACTACTCTAGAGCACACACGTTTAGCTGTGACTACTCTACAGCTGTGACTCCTCTATAGCACACACATCTAGCTGTGACTACTCTAAAGCACACACGTCTAGCTGTGACTACTCTAGAGCTGTGACTCCTCTATAGCAGACACATCTAGCTGTGACTACTCTAGAGCTGTTACTCCTCTAGAGCTGTGACTCCTCTAGAGCACACACATCTAGCTGTGACTACTCTAGAGCACACACGTCTAGGTGTGACTACTCTAGAGCTGTGACTCCTCTAGAGCACACACATCTAGCTGTGACTACTCTAGAGCACACACATCTAGCTGTGACTACTCTAGAGCACACACGTCTAGCTGTGACTACACTAGAGCACACACATCTAGCTGTGACTACTCTAGAGCACACACCTCTAGCTGTGACTACACTAGAGCACACACGTCTAGCTGTGACTACTCTAGAGCACACACGTCTAGCTGTGATTACTCTAGAGCACACACATCTAGCTGTGACTACTCTAGAGCACACACATCTAGCTGTGACTACTCTAGAGCACACACATCTAGCTGTGACTCCTCTATAGCACACACATCTAGCTGTGACTACTCTAGAGCTGTGACTACACTAGAGCACACACGTCTAGCTGTGATTACTCTAGAGCACACACGTCTAGCTGTGACTACTCTAGAGCACACACGTCTAGCTGTGACTACTCTAGAGCTGTGACTACTCTGGAGCTCACTCACACGTCTAGCTGTGACTCCTCTATAGCTCACTCACACGTCTAGTTGTGACTCCTCTATAGCTCACTCACACGTCTAGCTGTGACTCCTCTAGAGCTGTGACTCCTCTAGAGCACACATAATCTAGCTGTGACTACTCTAGAGCACACACATCTAGCTGTGACTACTCTAGAGCTGTGACTACTCTAGAGCACACACATCTAGCTGTGACTACTCTAGAGCACACACGTCTAGCTGTGACTACTCTATCGCTGTGACTACTCTAGAGCTCACACGTCTAGCTGTGACTACTCTAGAGCTGTGACTCCTCTATAGCAGACACATCTAGCTGTGACTACACTAGAGCACACACATCTAGCTGTGACTACTCTAGAGCACACACATCTAGCTGTGACTACTCTAGAGCTGTGACTCCTCTATAGCTCACACGTCTAGCTGTGACTACTCTAGAGCTGTGACTCCTCTATAGCTCACACATCTAGCTGTGACTACTCTAGAGCTCACACATCTAGCTGTGACTACTCTAGAGCTGTGACTACTCTAGAGCTCACTCACACGTCTAGTTGTGACTCCTCTATAGCACACACATCTAGCTGTGACTACTCTAGAGCACACACATCTAGTTGTGACTACTCTAGAGCTGCGACTCCTCTATAGCTCACACGTCTAGGTGTGACTCCTCTAGAGCACACACATCTAGTTGTGACTACTCTAGAGCACAAACATCTAGCTGTGACTACTCTATAGCTCACACGTCTAGCTGTGACTACTCTATAGCTCACTCACACATCTAGCTGTGACTCTTCTAGAGCACACACATCTAGCTGTGACTACTCTAGAGCTGTGACTCCTCTATAGCTCACACGTCTAGGTTTGACTACTCTAGAGCACACACATCTAGCTGTGACTCCTCTGGAGCTGTGACTACTCTAGAGCACACACATCTAGCTGTGACTACTCTAGAGCTGTGACTCCTATATAGCTCACACGTCTAGTTGTGACTACTCTATAGCTGTGACTACTCTAGAGCTGTGACTACTCTAGAGCACACACGTCTAGCTGTGACTAATCTAGAGCTGTGACTCCTCTAGAGCACACACATCTAGCTGTGACTACTCTATAGCTCACACGTCTAGCTGTGACTACTCTATAGCTGACACATCTAGTTGTGACTACTCTATAGCTCACACGTCTAGCTGTGACTCCTCTAGAGCACACACATCTAGCTGTGACTCCTCTAGAGCACACATCTAGCTGTTACTACTCTAGAGCTCACACGTCTAGCTGTGACTACTCTAGAGCACACACATCTAGCTGTGACTACTCTAGAGCTGTGACTACTCTAGAGCACACACGTCTAGCTGTGACTAATCTAGAGCTGTGACTCCTCTAGAGCACACACATCTAGCTGTGAATACTCTAGAGCTCACACGTCTAGCTGTGACTACTCTAGAGCACACACATCTAGCTGTGACTACTCTAGAGCTGTGACTCCTCTATAGCTCACACGTCTAGTTGTGACTACTCTAGAGCACACTCACATATCTAGCTGTGACTACTCTAGAGCACAGACATCTAGCTGTGACTCCTCTATAGCTCACACATCTAGCTGTGACTACTCTAGAGCACACTCACACATCTAGCTGTGACTACTCTAGAGCACACACATCTAGCTGTGACTACTCTAGAGCACACACATCTAGCTGTGACTACTCTAGAGAACACACATCTAGCTGTGACTACTCTATAGCTCACTCACACATCTAGCTGTGACTACTCTAGAGCACACACATCTAGCTGTGACTCCTCTATAGCTCACACATCTGGCTGTGACTACTCTAGAGCACACTCACACATCTAGCTGTGACTACTCTAGAGCACACACGTCTAGTTGTGACTACTCTAGAGCACACACATCTAGCTGTGACTACTCTAGAGTACACACTTCTAGCTGTGACTACTCTAGAGCTCACACATCTAGCTGTGACTACTCTAGAGCACACACATCTAGCTGTGACTCCTCTATAGCTCACACATCTAGCTGCGACTACTCTAGAGCACACACATCTAGTTGTGACTACTCTAGAGCACACACATCTAGCTGTGACTACTCTAGAGCACACACGTCTAGTTGTGACTACTCTAGAGCACACACATCTAGCTGTGACTACTCTAGAGTACACACGTCTAGCTGTGACTACTCTAGAGCACACACATCTAGTTGTGACTACTCTAGAGCTCACACATCTAGCTGTGACTACTCTAGAGCTCACACGTCTAGTTGTGACTACTCTAGAGCACACAGATCTAGTTGTGACTACTCTAGAGCTCACTCACACATCTAGTTGTGACTACTCTAGAGCACACACGTCTAGTTGTGACTACTCTAGAGCACACACATCTAGCTGTGACTACTCTAGAGTACACACGTCTAGCTGTGACTACTCTAGAGCACACACATCTAGCTGTGACTACTCTAGAGCTCACACGTCTAGCTGTGACTACTCTAGAGCACACACGTCTAGTTGTGACTACTCTAGAGCACACACATCTAGCTGTGACTACTCTAGAGTACACACTTCTAGCTGTGACTACTCTAGAGCTCACACATCTAGCTGTGACTACTCTAGAGCACACACATCTAGCTGTGACTCCTCTATAGCTCACACATCTAGCTGCGACTACTCTAGAGCACACACATCTAGTTGTGACTACTCTAGAGCACACACATCTAGCTGTGACTACTCTAGAGCACACACGTCTAGTTGTGACTACTCTAGAGCACACACATCTAGCTGTGACTACTCTAGAGTACACACGTCTAGCTGTGACTACTCTAGAGCACACACATCTAGTTGTGACTACTCTAGAGCTCACACATCTAGCTGTGACTACTCTAGAGCTCACACATCTAGTTGTGACTACTCTAGAGCTCACACATCTAGCTGTGACTACTCTAGAGTACACACATCTAGCTGTGACTACTCTAGAGCTCACACGTCTAGTTGTGACTACTCTAGAGCACACACATCTAGTTGTGACTACTCTAGAGCTCACTCACACATCTAGTTGTGACTACTCTAGAGCACACACGTCTAGTTGTGACTACTCTAGAGCACACACATCTAGCTGTGACTACTCTAGAGTACACACGTCTAGCTGTGACTACTCTAGAGCACACACATCTAGCTGTGACTACTCTAGAGCTCACACGTCTAGTTGTGACTACTCTAGAGCACACACATCTAGTTGTGACTACTCTAGAGCTCACACGTCTAGCTGTGACTACTCTAGAGCACACACATCTAGTTGTGACTACTCTAGAGCTCACACATCTAGCTGTGACTACTCTAGAGCACACACATCTAGTTGTGACTACTCTAGAGCACACACATCTAGCTGTGACTACTCTAGAGCTCGCATTCAGTCACTCATTCAGTGAGTAACTGACGGTCACCACCACCACCATCGTCACCACCTCCACCATCGTCACCACCACCATCGTCACCACCTCCACCACCACCACCACCGTCACCACCATCACCACCACCATCGTCACCACCACCACCGTCACCACCATCACCACCACCACCACCATCGTCACCACCACCACCATCGTCACCACCACCACCACCACCGTCACCACCTCCACCACCATCGTCACCACCACCACCATCGTCAGCGCCACCACCATCGTCATCACCACCACCATCGTCACCACCACCACCTCCACCACCATCGTCACCACCACCACCATCGTCAGCACCTCCACCATCGTCACCACCACTACCACCTGCACCATCATCTTCATCATCACCAACCCCACCATCACCACCACGCTCACCACCACCATCACCACCACCACCATCACCACCACCACCACGCTCACCACCTCCACCATCGTCACCACCACCACCGTCACCACCACCACCATCGTAACCACCACCATCGTCACCACTACCACCACCTGCACCATCATCTTCATCATCACCAACCCCACCATCACCACCATGCTCACCACCACCATCACCACCACCACCACGCTCACTACCACCACGCTCACCACCACCACCACGCTCACCACCACCACCAGCACGATCAGCTCCCCCAGCCGCTGTGGTGAGTGTGGTGGTGAGGAGGTCTCTGCCGAGCTCACCGAGAGGCGGAAGTGCCCTTGGTGAGCTCGCAAGACCGAGGCGGTGAAGTGGCGATCGCTGGGCTGCGGGAGTCGACTCTCCTCGTCCAGCACGTCCAGGATGCCACACGACCTCGCCTCCAGCAGGTCTCACAACGCACACACACACATAGATATAGATACACACACACATAGATATAGATACACACACAGATATATATATAGATATATATATAGATACACACAGATAGACAGACACACACACAGATATAGACACACACACAGATATAGATACACACATAGATATAGATACACACACAGATATACAGACACACACACAGACACACACATAGATATAGATACACACACACAGATAGACAGACACACGCAGATATAGATACACACACAGATACACACACAGATATAGATACACACACACATAGATATAGATACACACAGATATATATAGATACACATAGATACACACACAGATATAGATACACACACAGATATAGATACATACACACAGATATAGATACACACATAGATATAGATACACACACAGATATACAGACACACACACAGACACACAGATATATATAGATACACACACAGATATACAGATATAGATATATAGATACACACACAGATATAGATATAGATACACATACAGACACACACACAGATACACACAGACACAGAGAAACACACAGACACACACAGACACACACACACACACAGATACACACAGACACACACAGAGATACACACAGACACACACACAGATATAGATACACACACACAGATACACACACACAGATACACACAGACACACACAGATACACACAGACACACACAGACACACACAGATACACAGATATAGATACACACACAGAGACACACACACAGATGTAGATACACAAACAACAACAACCGCCATTCGCCACTAAGTGGCGGTGACGTCATCACGACGCTTGTGCCAGGCTATGTGCACCCTGAGGGCACGTGAAGTGTCGAACGCCCGCTGGCAGGAGGTCACGGGGCAGACCCAGGTGCCACTGGTCGACTGAGTGAGATGACTGGCTGATGCACCACCTGTGCCCCCTACTGTGCCAACCTGCTGTGCTTTAGCCACCCGGCGCTCCGCTCGTTGTTCTGAGCGTCGCTCCTCCGCCCTCCGTTGTTGTTGGAGGGCGACTACCTCCAACTGCCCAGTAGCGTCCTTCACGAGCCTCCTCCACAGAGGCCGAACTTGACACCGCTGGTACCAGTCATCGGCAAGTCCACTCAGCTCCACGTCCTCCTGTACCACATCACTCCATCTCTTCTCTAGCCCGTGCCGCACCCGCTTAGCCCCCTCAATCCGGCCGAACAAAAGCTGTTTCGGCATGCGGTGGCTGGGCATGCGGGCTACATGACCCAGCCATCGCAGCCTTCCCTGCCGGAGGAGCTCACCGATGGGACCTTGCCCAGATATTTCAAGGATTTGTGAGCTCCTCACACAATCCAGTCTGGTTAAACCCAGGATGGATCGTAGGCAGGCCAGCCTAAATGTTTCTAACTGGCGAAGATGTTCCATTAGGGGGGTCCACGTTTCGCAAGCGTAGAGAAGGGAGGGAATGACCGTGGCCGAGAAGATCTGAAGCTTAGTGCGGAGCGACAGACCAGGTAGCTTCCACACAGTGTTACGCAACCGATGAAAAGATATTGCCGCTCGACTGATTCGGAGTGAGACCTCTGTTGTTAAACTGGAGCCAGTCATAAGCACACTGCCCAGGTATGGGAAACTCTCCACTCTCTCCACAACTGCCCCATCACCGATTGGGAGTTGTGGGGGTGGAGTGTCCGATGGTACAAAATACCCAAGCAGGTGCTTAGTTTTGGTGGGGCTGATGGTAAGGCCCCATCTCTTAGTGGCACGCTCCAGTCTCAGCAGCAGCGTCTCCAACTCCTCCTCTGAATGAGCAGCTATTACCAAATCATCGGCATACATAACGTGGTTGAGCAATAGGGAGCCATCCCTTGACCGCACCCGGGCATCGACCAGCCTCCCATTATACCTGTACCATATGGAGATTCCCCCGGTACAGTTATTGAAGGCATCACTAACTACGTGGTCAAAATAGATGTTAAATAATGTGGGAGCCTGAGGACATCCCTGTCGCACCTCAAAGTTTACAGGGAATGGCTCTGACTCCCGGCCACGTAGTTTTACCCGGGCCCGCTCACCATCATTAAGGTCCTTAATGATCGTGAGCAGAGGGTCAGGTACTCCAAAAGCATGAAGAACTACCCAGAGCCCAGGCCTACTGATGGTATTATAGGCCTTGACCAGGTCAATAAAGCAAAGATGTAGGTCCTGCTGGAATTCCCTAGATCTCTGCAGTAGCAGACGGAGAGAAAATATGGCATCTGTGCAGGACCGCCCTTTCCTGAAGCCTCTCCTCAGCGTGCCTGGCAAGGCAATGCTGAATAATCCTTGCCAGGACCTTTTCCGGCACACTGAGGAGTGAGATGCCCCTGTAGTTGTTACAGTCTGTGCGGTCCCCCTTCTTAAAAAGGGGGACCACCATGGCATCCTTCCAATCCTGCGGAACCCGTCCAGTGGTCCAGACCGTTGTTATGATGTCATATAGGGCAGTCTGTGCACAATCGCCACCCTCCCTCAGCATTTCGCTTGCCCGCTGCCTTTCCTGGTCTCAGACTCCGGATCGCCTTCAGTACATCCTCAGCAGATGACACCTCAGCCAGCCACTCACAGGGGGTGACTTCTTCCAATATTTGAGGCACCGCAGCATCAGCAGTGACATCCTCACTTTGTGCCACGATGTTTTCCTGGCTGAGGGATTTTCCCTCCTCCAGGACCTCACAAAAATGCTCAGCAAATCTGCAAACCTGTACCTGGGGGTCGGAGATTGGATGACCGTTTTTTCCCCTAATGATGGTAATAGGTGTGGCGCTGCAGGTTACTTTATTGATGGAGTTAAATAGAGAATTGTGATCACGGGCCACTGAGGCAGACTCCATCTCCTCAGCAACCCGGGATCACCACCCATCCTTGCAGCGCCTCACGGCTCTCCGAACCTCGGAGCGAAGGCTGCGGTAAGCCTCCTCATTCTCTGACGTGGGATTCTGTAGCCGATGACAGTGGGCCTGTCGCTTTTTCTCAACCATCCTAAACACCTCCTCTGTCAGCCAGGGTCTCTGGGGAGGTCTGGACCGCGTACCCAAAGCAGCCATTGCAGCTGCATGAGTCACAGTCCTAAACCTCGCCCATTTACCCTCGACATCAGGAGGAGTCGGGGACGATGCCAATCCCAGCCGCAAGCGATGATGAAATTCTCGCTTGCAACTTTCATCAGTTAACTGAGACCAGGCCACTTTATGTTGGAATGGGGTCCTGGGTGTACACCCACCACCGGAGTGAAAGAATGGCAGGCGCATCTTACAGATGACTAGTCGATGGTCAGAGGGCAGATCAGCTCCACGGTAGGTCCTGGTGTCAAGGACATGGGCTCGCATCCATTGGTCCGTCACTATGTAGTCCAGCAGATGTTCTTGCTTGGACCCGGCAAGCATCCATGATGTTGTGTGGATGCGCCGATGCCAGAACAGCGTGTTGGTAATTACAAGCCCATGGGCTGCAAAACAATCTAGCAACCTCCTACCGTTGTTATTGAGGTGATCTGGCCCTTGCCCTCCAATCACTCCAGACCAGGTGCCAGTATCATGACCAACTCGGGCATTGAAGTCACCCAACATGATGACTCTATCCCGAGGGGCCACTTTAGCCAGCACCTGTGACAGGAGATCATAGAAGGCATCTGACTCATCGGCTTTGCCTGCATCCCTCCACGGATGTTCATCTTCGGTGGGGGCATAAGTAACCACGACCACCATTCCTCGCCTCCGGTTGATGGGAAGGCGAGCCCAAAGTAGCCTGGGGCTTACAGCTTCCCACACCTCACCGCCACGCTCCCATGCCCCTTTCATTCTTTTGTTCAAAAGAAGAGCCACACCCTGTTGTTTGGCAGTCTGCTGCCCCGAGAAGAGGACTGTCCACCCCTCATGGTGGCAGGAGCCAGAGCCGGTCCACCGGACCTCCTGAATGCCACAGAGATCCAGGCGGTACCGGTCCAGCTCCCGACAGAGGAGCGGCAGCCTCTCCTCCGCAGTGTGCGTTCGAACATTCCACGTGGCCACACGGAGTGGCTTTTCGTTGTTTCTGGAGGAGCCCCGAGGGTAGATATTCAATCTCCTGGCTTCACTAATTGGGGTTTGGCCAGGAGACGTCATAGACGCTTGTCCCCCCGAGGCCTCCGGCACAAGCTTATTAGTTAGATATTTTAGGCGTGGTTTAGTGGTAAATTTTTGAAGGTGGAGGGGTTACCAGCCCCTCGCACCCATCCAGAGCCTCCATTTAGCCCCTGTGGTGGTCACAGACGCCATGAGGGGAGGAGCCAATCGGAATTGGCCCTCCCCCCACAGCACTGTCCACGACAGAGTTGCCCGTCCGGCACCGCGACGAGGTAGGGGGTTGTTTTGCCGGACACATACACAGACACACAGACACACACATACAGATATAGATACACACACACAGACACACACAGATACACACAGACACAGACATATAGAAACACACACACAGATACACACACAGATACACACACACATACACAGACACACACAGACAGACACACACGGATATACACAGACAGAGACATATAGATACACACACACAGATACACACAGACACAGACACACACAGACACACACAGACACACACAGACACACACACAGACACACACACAGATACACACAGACAGAGACATATAGATACACACACAGATACACACACAGAGATACACACAGACACACACTTACAGACAGACACACACAGACACACACACACAGACTGACACACACAGACACACACAAACACAGACACACACACAGATATAGATACACACACAGACAACAACAACAACCGCCATTCGCCACTAAGTGGCGGTGACGTCACCACGACGCTTGTGCCAGGCTATGTGCACCCTGAGGCCACGTGAAGTGTCGAACGCCCGCTGGCAGGAGGTCACGGGGCAGACCCAGGTGCCACGGGTCGACTGACTGAGATGACTGGCTGATGCAC